TTTTTCATAGATGGCTTTTATCAGTTTGAGGTAGAGACCATCTATTCCAATTTTTTGTAGAGTTTTTATCATAAATGCATGTTTGATTTTGTTGAATGCTTTTTCTGCATCAATTGAGATGATCATATGGTTTCTGTCCTTGGCTCTATTGATAGAGTGTAATACACTTATTGATTTGCGTATGTTGAACCATTCCTGTATCCCTGGTTTTGAGTCTGGTTTTGAGAATTGTTTCCATGTCTTCTCATTTCAATGGGTGGGAGGAGAGGGCTGTGTGCTCCTGGCACTTGTGTAGCTCACCTCCTTGTTGCTGGGGGCAGCTCTGCTACTCGGCACTGGTGGCAGTGTTACAGCAGCCAGGAAGGCTCCTCCTCGTCACTGAGGGTGGCTTTGTTCCTCATCGGTGGGGGCAGTGGTACAGCAGCCCAGAAGGCTGGTTCCTTGGTTTCTTGTGAATCTCTCCAACCCCATGTGTGTTGAAAATCTCTGGCCCTAATCTCTACCCTTGTGCTTCAGTCACATTGAACCACTGCAGACAGGTGCTCACAGAGTGCCACAGTCTCTCACCCTGGGCTTTGCATACAGTATTCCCTGTGCTCAGTCACTCATCTCACCTATTTTTCTTGGCTAATACTTGCTCATTTCCTAAGTCTTCACCAGATGACCCTTCCTGAGGGTCACTTACCTGAATGCTCACATTGGATCAAGAGTCCTTCCACTGTCACCTGCATTGGTTCAAGACAGGACTTCCAAATGAGATGACAAATTTTCTGTTCCCTTTCTTCTTGGTGAGGAGGCCATGGCCTTCCATTCACAGAGGCATTCCTGACACTATGCACAGTGATTAGCAATAAGTTGGGTGCTCAAACAATATTTTTGAAGAAAAGAATGCCCCTCTTGATAACTTCAGTGCAGATCTCTCTGCTGACAAACCTGTATATCTCCCTCCCACTGCTTGCTGAACATGTCCACTTTGGTGTCCTACAGGTACCAAATTTTCGGCCAGTTCCAATGTTAACTCACTCACAAGAGTGCCACCTCCTTGTCATACATCATCTGGCTTCCCTCTGCAATCCCAACTAAATAATGGAGGCCTTATGCATCAGGCCTCTGAAATTCAAATCTCATATTTGGTCATAATACTTCTCTTTCCACTGTCATCATGTCTAATTTGCCAGTAAAGTAGTCACCAATAACCAAAAAGCAGCTGTCCTTTCTTTCTGTTTCCTTCCTAGAGCTTCTCACAGGATCACGTGAACTTCTCCTCAAGTCCATTATGCACTATGTTGTCTGAATGCAACTTCCTGAAACATGAATCCAGGTGCGACCTTTGAGTGCCTAAAATACTATATTTCCCATTTCCAGGAGGATATAGGATATACTTTTAAAAGGTAGGATACACAGAAGCCTATCACTATTGAACCTTACATGCACCTGTACGTCCACCTCTACTTTTCACCACTCTTCCCCCATATACTCTCTGTTTTAGCCTTAATATTATTTGACCTCAGATTCAAAGGAAGGAGGATTTTCAGCTTCTATAGATTGAAGATTCAAGTTTTCTATCCACAGAAGTAAGCCTTATCTGTCAAAACTTATATAAGATAATTTGGGGGAGCTTTTTTTGCAACACACAAATGACCTCATTTTCAGGGCTCCTACACCAGGGTTAACTCTGTGATGGTAAGATCACCATTGACTTCTCACCTAGCCACAGCCACATTCTACACTAGGAGATGCTATGGACGAGGACTTTGATTTTTGTCACCTGTAGATTTTTAACAGTAGGTCTGGTAATAGCCAGTTATCCAGGTTTCATGATTGAATTGAAAGAATAAGTGAATATATAAGTGCTTGACATATATACAAAGACTGATAAAAATGTACAGTTAATGTTTAATTTTGAAAATTTATTGCACCTAAAGAAACATTGCATTAACTCCCTCAAAATACTCTCTCTTGCTTTGAATATACTCATCTCACTGTTATTGTCACTTTATGAAGCAGTTCTGGAAGTCCTCTTTCATGAGGGTCTTTACAAAGTATGATAAAAAAATATAGTGAATGTTCTCACTGAGTGGCATCCGGGGAGGCAGGCTTGTGCAAACATTATGGTGTGTCCTCATTTATCTTATTTAACAGATTTGGCACCATGCAGCTTTTGTCTGTTCCCCAAAGTCAGAATGACTATGAAAGGTAAATGTTTTGAATTGATTCAGGACACTGAGGCAGCCATGAAAGCATAACTAAAGACACTCATGGAAGAGGACTTCTTGAATTGCTTTTGAAAGTGGCAGTAACAGATAATTTTGTTTGAAGTGAAGAGGGGAGTTTTCAGGGGGATTAATGCCAATCTGTCTTTTAATGCAATAATATTTTTGGTAATTTAAACATTCATCACATTTTGTATTGGAAAGGTTTTTAAAGAACACCTGTGCATACTCACCCCTGCCTTGATGTAGATGGGGACAAAGAACCACCCTAGAACCAGCAATAGTGGTGAGGCCTACAAGAAAATAAGAACAGAAAGTTAAAGAGGCTTGGCTTGAGGACCTCATTATTTCATGACCTCTGAGTATGAAAAGAAAAAAAAATATACAAAATTTTATTTAGAGCTAGCCCAATTTAATAATTATGATTCCCTGAAAACTTTATGTTCCTTTCCCCTATTTCTATGATTCAGAATTGACCATTTTCTGGGGCTTAGAATGTGATGAAAGATGTGTGGTAGAAATGATTAAAGCAATCTGAATCTAGAAGGGCTACTGGAAGATCGTAAAAACTTTGCCAAAAGAAGTATATGGATTGAAAGCCATGAGAAAGAAATTTGGAAACAGAAGAATATTCTTTGTGTCATCTAAGTTTTACCAAATATAAAAATAATAACAATGAAATATAGCATTAAAATATAAGTTTTACAAAGGTAGATTACTTATATTATTGAAATGACCAGTGAGGTAAGTAAAATAAGCACAGTAATTATTGCTCATATAGGTGGAACATGAGCCTCACAGAAATTGAAGAAGCACAAGATCAGAAGTACAAGAGGTACAGCGGCAGAGTTATCTGAAGCCCGATAATCTCACTCATTAGACTATAGGGCATTCTGTCCATGCCTCTGGAGGCTGGCTTCATTTTAGAGTCCATGATCCTGCCAAACAAATCTCTAGCAGTAAGGCTTATCTGGAGGCTGAATGTATACTGGCACTACTGAAATAAAACCAAAGAATGAACTTCAACACAGAAAGGCCAAAGACCTCCAACACTAGGATAGGCAAAGACATTTGTGCATCAAAGTCACTTCTGGAGACCATCCAGAAATAGTTTGTTTAAAACTTCATGATGAACCAACTTTCTTTCACGTAAGCTTCTTCCTCTCACCAACTTGCCCATACCACATATACATGAAACACTAGAAAGGATAAGAGAAAGGAACAGAAAATCTCAGACTATTCAAGAACTATGGCATGTTCATCACATGCCTACTCATGTGCTAGATACAAGGTAGTATGAGTAAAAGAGAGGATGTGGGGCCTGTCCTTAAAGTATTTAGGGTCTGATTAAGTGAACACAAGTTCTACTGGTGAAATAATAAAACAATTATAAGTCCCATCGCAGGCTTGTAAATTCTAGTTACTATAAAATAATTTACTCCTCATTCTTCTGCCACTTCTCTCATCAGGTCTCACTTGGGTAATTTCTATTCATTCACTTGGGATCAGCACCAGGAATCTTCCTTGACATATGCTAGGCCTGACCCATCATCTCTGATGGAGTCCCCCATGAAATCCCTCAATACCCAGTGAGTGCCTTTTGCACTTTCTTAGCCTGCAGAGAGTGTCTGTTGTCTACCAACTAGAATCTGAGCTTCTCAAAAAAAGAAGCCTGGCTTTTTCTTTTTAAAAATTATTCACGGGCCGGGGATTTAGCTGAGTGGTTTCGCCACCTGCTGTGCAAGCGCAAGGACACAAGTTTGATCCCCGGTAAGAAAAAAAAAAAAAAGAGAAAGAAACATATAAAAATTCTTCACTTCTAGTTCAGGGCTGGGTAAAATGTTGCACCTCAGAGAAGAGACAAAAGCGAGGGCCCCAATGGTCAAAGAGGTCAAGTGAAAGTAGAGATCGAATCAAATGACATTCCCAGTAGGAATAACTACACGAGAAAAAGCTCAGGTGTGAGTCATAATATGACTGAAATGGCCCAGGCAGAATGGGTCTGCAGAGGTGCTGATGGTCAAAGAGTGGATGAGGAGAAAGGAAAATAAAAATCAAACCAAAGAGGACTCTAAGAAATACAGACTCTAAGAAAAACATGGGGTATGGTTTCATTAAACTGTTTGGATATGGGTTTGATTTACTTACATGAGATTCAAATGCTACAACAGCAATTCCTGAAGCTGCTCCTGTTCCAGCCAGTCCCACAAAGTGACCACTGCCAATATTACTGGCAAAGAGGGATGCACCCATCTGGAATGCAGGAGGAAAGACTATGGTTAGAGTGAAGAGATGCAAATCAGAATTCAGCAAATAGATATTGCAGTTATCTAATCAGTACTTGTTAGAGCAGGAACCAGCAAACTGTGGTTCATGGATTAAATTTATCCTGTCACCAGTTTTTGAGTGGCACATAAGCCAAGGATATATGTTTGTTTTTGAATGGTTAAAAAAATCTAAAGAATGACAATATTTTGGAAAACATAAAAATAAGAAATGAAATAAATGAAATGTAAATGTTAGAGTCCATAAATAGTTACAGTTTTATTGGAATACAGCCATGCTCTTGGTTTAATATGCTGACTGTGTGTAGTTTTGTGTTACAGTAGGAGGATTTTGTGGTTCCGATAACCTCAACAGTCCGTAAACTGTAAAATACTTACATATTTGCCTTTTACAGAAAAAGTTTTGCTGTACCTTGCATTGGTATACATATTTTCCTACAAGCTTCGAGTTGAGCCCATCTTTGGCTCCAAACTCCTAGACTTCCTATCAACCCTTCCTTCCTTTTTTTTTTTTTTTTTTTTTGGTACCAGGGATCAAACTCACGATCTTGCACTTGCAAGGCAGGTGTGGTGCTACTGAGCTAAATCCTCAGCCAGCCCTTCCCTCTTGAATCAGCAACAAAGAACCCAAAGCTGGGTAGGAGGGAATTCTTCTCTATGTACCTAGTGATGGGACCCTGTTCCTATTAATCTTCCTTTTTACCACCTTGTCTGCTATTCTTAAGACTCTAAGAGAAAGAAAGTTCTCTTGAATACACACAGTTCTGACAGAATAGAATTGGTATTAGACCTTGAAGTGTTTCTTCTATCTTTTTTAGCCTTCTGTAAAATCACTTTCTATTCAAATATTTGAGGCCAGAGAGGGAATTGAGTTTGTGGCTTTGAGTGTGGCTGAGGCTTGTTTGTTTCACAAAACAGCACTTAGAGGGAAATTTCTGAATTGTTGCTTCAAATCAAATTCCATTTTTTGAGCTTGCAGTCGGTCTGTTCCAATCACCCTGGCCAGGTCATTTCTCAACCCCCATTTCTTTTCATACCATTTAGATGAACTAGAAAATCTGAATAAAGCATTTACTGAGGACCCTCTGTACACCCAACTCAATTCTAACACTCTCTCGAGGTTCATAGAGGAAGATGGAGTCTAAACTGCAATGGAAATCTGGCCAAAGAGGCCACATATCAAAATTCAGAAAAGAGAATACCCACTAGTCAACTGATTTTTCATGTATTCACTCAAGTTATTTTAAAAATAAATAGTGTATATTTACAAAATAAAAAGAGTCAAAGAGGCATCACTATTAACATTACACAGGTAGGCTGGGATTTAGCTCAGTGGTGCTGGGCCTGCCTCACAAGCTCAAGGTTTTGAGTTCGATCTCCAGTATTGGAAAAAAAATTACAGGGAACATGACTCACTATCTGTAAGTGCACAGAGAATAAGAACTAGACAGACATTCAGAGTGGGCTGGTGTGATCCTGGAGCAGGTGGGGCATTGAAGAAGGAGAGTAGAGAGGGTGGGTAACCCAGACTAAAGGAGCAGCATTAGCACAGGGTTGGGAGCAAAGATGGAACGTGTGTATCTAGTAAGAAGCCATGCAGAAGATTCTTGATGATGATCAAGGGAAAAGAATGCAAGTAGAGCTGAACTGAGGGTCCTCAAATGGAAGACGAACCCTGTTCTCAATTGATAACATTATAATTTTTCTGAATTATAGGTCATGAAGTCATGAAGTTGGGGATTTAGGAAAAGAGCTACCAGAAAGTGAGTATTCACACGTAAAATCACACACACAGGAAATTTATCTATAGGAAATGTCCTACTTACTGCCCACCAGGCCATTTCTCGACCAGCCAGGAAGAAACCTCCAATTGTGCCTCGGTTGGTCCTCAGCATTGCCTGAGCAAAAAGAAAGACATATGAAACTCAAATAACAGCTTCATTCAAGATTTCCAAGATTCCTCAGCAGCCCTGGCCAAACGTTGAATTTTTGGCTTTTTTTTGGCTACTCCTATAGAGAGACATGTTTTCCTAGAAACTGTGGTACAGCATCAAATTTTAATGGACTTGGAAATCATAGTTTTATAAAAATTCAGAGCTGGAAGGACTTCAAGAAATCCTACAACATAAATAATTTAAATGTCCAAATCACCGAGTCAGAAAGTAAGCAAATGGTAAAGGAAAATAAATGAAATGTGATAATAAAAATAAGATCAGTGTTGTTCATTATGTTCAGTGCTAAAGATGAGAAAAAGAACTTTTTCTTTTCAAACGATGGGGTTGTTAGGAGAACAAATTCACTCATAACAAGCATTATTTATGTAACACAGAAGGAAATGATTCATAAAGAAAGACAATGATATCCGTGAAAGCTGTTAATGTTAAGTTTGTCAGGCCACACCTCCCACCCTAAGATACTTTCCCCCAGCCATGATCCCCTCCCTGAAAGCCAACTGGGTTCTCACATACCCACAGCCCAACAGCTGTCACCACCACAAAATAGATGACAATGACAGAGATGTCAGCAGGATTTTGGATGCGCTCTGACAGTGCAGGCAGCTCTGGGGTTCCAGCTGTGGTGCTGGGGCGTACTGTGCTGGCCATGGCTGCAGGTGGTGCAGACTCTATCCCAAGGATAGCCCTATTTTTATGTAAGTGCTGGGTTAATGATCAGCCTCTGGTAGGTGGGGAGAGATAGCAGAGCTACCTTCTATGCATAGGGACCTTTAAACCTCTTCTCTTAATCCAGGCTCTGAAACCCTGGCCTCCCAGTGTTCAGCATTGGCCTTAGTAGAGAGAGAGAGAGAGAGAGAGAGAGAGAGAGAGAGAGAGAGAGAGAGAGAGAACTGACCAGAGATGGTGCGAGAATTAGAGGTAGAAAGTGGAGGAAAGAGAAGATATTTGAGATTTGAGAAAGCCAGGGAGAGATAAAGGGAAACAAGCTGGGGAAATGTAGGACTGAGTATGGATCTCAGGGCTAGAAAGCTTGACTAACATGTACAAGACACTGGGCTCAATTCCCAGTACCATAAAAACAGATAAAGAAGAGGAGAAGTACAAAGATGAAGGGGCTGGGTGACAGTGTTAGGTGAGACAGAAAGAGGTAGTTCATTATAAGACAGCAAAGATTCTCTGCCCAAAATTATGTCTCTTGAGAGAAAAGTTAATTATACATTTCATGAGCTCCAAATACCCACAGTTCTTTAGCACAAATAATCTGAGTGGATTTACACCACATCTCAGGACTCGGACAGCTCTAGCAAGAAACAAAAGCAGCTCTCTAAGTGCTGACCATGGAGAGATGATGGCAGGGCTATAGAGAGGACTGGGCCAGAGATTTTTTTAAATGTAGTATAAGTAGATATTAATAAAGAAAATATAAAAATCCCTCATTACTTCTATTAAAAAATAAGAACTTCAGAACAAAATAATTAGAGAAAACAGTTAATACACTGTGTATTGTGATCTTTAAAAAATGATCAAAAAGGGGCCGCCATTCCACTGCTCCCAGGGCAGAGGAGGTGAGCCAATCCCAGCACTAAGGAGGAGGGTCCCCAGCCACCATTCCACTGCTACCAGGGCAGAGGAGGTGAGCTAATCCCAGCACCCAGGAGGCTCCCTGGCTGCCATTCCACCACTCCCAGGGCAGAGGAGGTGAGCTGCATGGGCACCAGCAGCACCCCCCACACCCCATGGAAATGAGAAGACATGTAAACAAGCCTCAAAAACAGACTTCCAGATCACCTACAGCAACCCCAAAGGGAAACAAGATGGAACAATCTGATACTCAACCACCTGGACTCCTTGAACTGTCAACAAAAGAGGATCTGGGAAAAATGAAATCAGAAATAATTTCTCAGATAACAGCAGAGATTTTGCCCATAGTGCAAGACATGATTAATGAATCTAGAGAGGACACAGATAAAAAAATAGAGGATCTGAGGAACATGATAGAACCCCAACATAGGAAACAAATTGAATCCATAAAACAGATACAAACAGATTTCCAGGAGATTAAAAACTCCATTGAAAGTCTACACAGGAGAATGAACCAATGTGAGGACAGAATTTCAGATATAGAAGATAAGATTGCAGTGGCCCTGCCCCCAAGTGCCTGGGTCATGTGACGGGTGCGCACTTCCCCGTTGGCTGCAGACTGCGAGGCCGAGGAGAAAAGGCTGCGCTGCCCACTGCTGAGGCTGAGCACAGAGAATGAACCAGCAGTGGAAGAAAAATGCTGCCAGCTAGCTGCTATTAAAGAAGATGCTTTCTCTTTGTGGGGAGCACGTGTGAGATCTGCAACACAAATGATAGCTGGCTGTGGTGAAATCGATCACTAAATAAACATGCTTCCTATGAACAGGAAAGCAAACGAGTTCTGTTCTAATGCCGTACCTTCTCTGACCTTTCCTGAATGTGCCATTTGTCTGCAAACATGTGTTCACCAAGTCAGTCTGCCCTGTAAACATGTTTCCTGCTATCTGTGTGTAAAGGGAGATTCATGGCTTGGAAAGTGATGTGCCTTTTGTCATCAAGAAGCTCCTGAGAATTTCCTTGACAAGCCAACCTTGTTGCCAGAACTCAAGGCTGCATGTAGAGGGAATGGCGAATACGCATGGTATTATGAAGGGAGAAATGGGTGGTGGCAGTCTGATGAGTGCACTAGTAGAGAGCTGAAAGACGCTTTTTCCAAAGGTAAAAAGAACACTGAAATGTTAATTGCTGGGTTTCTGTATGTTGCTGCTCTTGAAGATATGGTTCAATATAGGAGAAACGAACATGGATGTCACAGGAAGATTAAGAGAGATATAATAGATATACCAAAGAAGGGAGTAGCTGGACTTAGGCTGGACTGTGATGCAAATTCTGTAAACCTAGCAAGAGAGAGCTCTGCTGATGGTGTGGACAGCATGTCAGCACAGAGCGGAATGTCTGTCCAGCCTCCAGTGTCGTCTGCTGTGAGGCCCCTGACATCAGTGGATGGGCAGTTGACCACCCCTGCCACACCATCCCCTGATGCAGGCACTTCTCTGGAAGACTCTTTCACTCATTTGCAACTGAGTGGAGACAGCACAAATGAGAGGAGTCACAGGGGAGAAGGAGAAGAAGACCATGAATCCCTGTCTTCAGGCAGGGCACCAGACACCTCCATTGAAGAAACTGAGTCAGATCCCAGTAGAGATAGTGATGATGTATCTGCAGTCATTGCACAGCATTCCTTGATCCAACAGAGACTACTGGTGTCCAATGCAAACCAGACAGTAGCTGATTGATCAGGAACTGACCGGTCAGCAGCAGGGGGTGCAACAGTGAGCATCAGATCCAGAAAACCTGATGGGCAGTGCATAGTAACAGAAGTTTAAGCTCCATGCGCAAGGTTGGATGGTTATCTGTAAATTTCTGCCCACATAACATTATACTCATGCCTAGTAGTTCATTTTGGGAGATGAGTGGGAATGGGTCTGGGAAGGATAAATCTGAAAAACTAAATGCCTAACATGCCTCTGTTGAAAAATAATTATTAAATGTAAGAAACTTGGTTAATAGTTGAGAACTGTTTAGTAATAACCCAGTTTTCTTGACATCTGCTCTCTTTACAGTTTTTTTAAAAAAATTCTTTAGTTCTTTTGGCCAGTGTGTGTATATTATCTGTGCATTAATGGTCCTCACTTGACTGGCATTGTCATTTTTCTGCATGGATTGGCATAAAAGTATTACTAAAATTTGGCACTTGTGAGATGTTGGTATCATTATGAGCAGGAAGCTTAATGTAACGTGGAGATAGATGTGAATTTAGTTTAAAAATAGATGAGTAAGACCAATTTTATAGTAAAGTTATTGAAATGGAAATGTAAAGAAAACAGCTAATAACTTTTGATTCAGAATCTTTGTAACACACTTCATGGTGTTCCTTCCCACACGCTTTGCTGTCCAGCCCTTGTAGTTTGAGGTTTCTCTTGTTTGCATTTTTCTTTTGGATTAAAAAATTTATAATTTAATAAATAATAGTTTCTTAAAAAAGAATGTAAGACTGCAATTAGTGACCAGGAAGAGAAAAATTGCTGTAAAATTGTAAAGGGCCATGAGAAATCAATCCAGCAGCTGCTAGATGATGCAAAGAAGAATAACATCAGACTGATTGGAGTCAATGAGGAAGCACGAGAGAGTGCAGATGACATAAAAAACTGTTCACAGAAGGGACAGCAGAAAACTTCCCCAGCAGGGGAAAAGAATTTGACATACAGATAAGTGAGG